TTAATTATGTTGAGGTATGTTCCCTCCAGTACAGTTCCCTCTAGGACTTTGACAGAAATTCATGCTGAATTTTGTCAAAAATCTTTTCTGCATCTATTGAGATGACAATGAGATTTTTGTCTTTGAGTCCATTTATATGATTAATGACGTTTACTGACTTGTGTATATTGAACCATCCCTGCATCTCTTGGATAAAGCCTACTTGATCATGGTGAATGTTCTTTTTGATGTGTGTCAGTATGCAGTTTGCAGGTATTTTGTTGAGAATTTTTGCATCTATGTTCATTAAAGATATGGGTCTATAGTATTCTTTTTTGGTTGTGTCTTTACCTGGTTTGGGTATTAGGGTGATGCTGGTTTCATAGAAGGAATTTGGGAGTTCTCCCTCTACTTCTATCATTTTGAATAATTTAAGTAGTATTGGTTGGAAGTCTTCTTTAAATGTCTCGTAGAATTCTGCTGTAAATCCATCTGGGCCTGGGCTTTTTTTTAGTTGGGAACCTTTGTATTACTGTTTCAATTTCCTTGTATGTGATGGGTCTGTTTACATTGTTGATCTCTTCTTGGTTTAACTTTGGAGTTTCCCATGATTTCAGATATCCATCCATTTATTTTACACTTTCAGAGTTAGTAGCATATAGGTTTTTAAAATATTCCCTTATAATGGTCTGGATCTTTTGGGTGTCTGTTGTGATGCTTCCCCTCTCATCTCTGATTTTGTTGATTTGGATTTGCTCTTTCTTTCTTTTGGTGTACTGGGCTAAGGGTCTGTCTATCTTGTTTATCTTTTCAAAAAACCAGCTCTTAGATTCATTGATTCTTTATGTTGTTTTCTTTGTTTCTATTTCATTAATTTCTGCTCTGATTTTTGTTATTTCTTCTCTTCTGCTGGGTTTGGTTTTCATTTGTTCTTGCTTTTCCAGTGCCTTCAGTTGCAGTGTTAGGTCATTTATTTGGTCTCTTTCTAGTTTTTTAATATGGGCACTTAGAGCTATAAACTTCCCTCTTAGAACTTGGTCTTTTCATGATGTGCCACATCTCTTGCATATTCCATTCCTGTGTTTTTAAAATTTTTCCATACTCTTTGCTTGAGTGGTCCAATTCTTTAACTTTATCCTTCAGTATTGATATTCTGTTTTCCATTTCATTCATTCTTGAGATGAGGCTATCCCATGTTGGATCAAGTTGGCTTATTGAGTTTTGCACTTCCTTCTTCATTTCTGCCTGAGTTTTCTTCAATGTTTCTATTTCTTTTGTGAATTCATTCTGAAGTTTGTCCTTATATTCTTTTAGCTCTTTGATTTGTTTGTTCATGTGTTCTTTAAAATAGTTGAATTCCTTGATCATGTTTATGATTGTTCTTTTAAATTCACTGTCCTGGGTTATCTCTAGGAAGTTCTCCTTGTAGAACTCTTCTATAGGATTGGTGGCATTTGGTGGGGACATAGTGTTTTGGCTTTCCATTTTACTATTCTTTCATTGTGGTTTTGGCATGTGAATTTCTTTTGTTGTTTATGATTCTGATACGAGAAGTTGAAATATCCTTCTGTTTGTATTATCCAGGTGCCTAGATTGTTTCTTTATTGGTTATGTAAAGCTGGTTGGTACAGGGTTCAGGTTCTCCCAGGTTTATTTTGGAGGGCACCAATGGCTTCAGACCAGCTATTCAGGGGTACCAACAGAAGCCCAATTCAGGTTCCAGTCAGGTACACTCAGGCTTCCTTCACCACATGGAGGGGATCCAGGCTCTCTCAGGCAGTCCTGTGGGTTGTCAACCCTATACCAGAGGGAGGCCAGAGGGGGGCCAGAACCCGGCACTCTGTGGCGGCCTGCTGAGCTGCAAGCCACTACCCTGGTGGAGGTCTGAACCCACTCTCTCAGGCTGTCTGCTAGGATCTCAGCCTTTTCCTACCAAAGCCAGATCTGCCCTGGGGCCTTGGAGGGGCCTCACCAAATCCCAGGTAGGGGGATGGTATGGCACAATTAGGGGGAGCTCACCACCATGTGGAGGCAAGATCTGGGAGCTATCAGGCAGTCCCCTAGGTTCTCAGCCCTTCTGGTAGTTGGAGGCCAGAGGGAGGCCAGAACCTGGCACTCTCTGGCAGTCTGCTGAGCTCCAAGCTGCTACCTTGATGGAAGTCTGAACCATGAGTTTTAAATAAGAGAATTTCAGGGCTAGAGAGATGGCTCAGCGGTTAAAACACTTGCTGTTCTTGTAGAAGACCTGGGTTTGGTTCCCAGGACCCACATGGTACTTCACATTGGGGCGTGTTATTCCAGTTCCAAGGAATCCAATGCCTTCTTCTGGCCTCCATGGGCTACAGGCATGCACATGGGGCACATATGTAAGTGCAGGTAAATACTCATACACACAAAATAAAAATTAATCTTTGGAAGTAAATAAATAAATAAATAAAATAATGTATATGAAATTTTTGTAAGTTATAGAAAACATAATAACATTTGAAGTGTTACTATGATTAATCATTAGTAAATTTTACCTTACTAAAACTTTCAATATATATTTGCTAATGATTATTGGTTAATATAGGTGGGTGTATCCATGAGTGTTTACTATGAAAGTAAAACAGAAGATAGACCAGCAATTGTACTGTTCTAATTCATGGTACTGTTCTAATGACATTGAAAATAAGGTCACAGGATTGATGAAACAATGGACAAAATATAGTGTAGTTTTGGACCTGGGTTGCCTTACAATACCATTTTAAATTTGTTACTGCAGCTGCTGCTAATGATACTGATAGGTAAAAACGTTGGGAGAGAGAGTGCGGTGGAGAGCACGAGCGGATGGATGAGGCACCGAGGCACAGATGGAATTCTCAGCGGGATACAGATTTATTTCGCACGGGCACCTTTCCCTCGGGGAAGGGAAAGATGTCAGGGAAGGGAAAGATGTCAGGGAAGGGCAGGGAAGGGAAAGATGTCAGGGAAGGGCAGGGGAGGGAAAGATGTCAGGGAAGGGCAGGGAGGGAAAGATGTCAGCCCACGGGCTGTGAGCTGGGACTTTATATATGGGGGCTTTAGGGTGTAGAAGGGAGGAATGTTTGGGGGAGAAATCAGGGAGGGGGAAGCAGGAAAAGCAGGTAGGATTAGGGTCTGGAAGTGTTTACTTTTTCCCTCTTAAGAGAAAAACAGCTTCTAAAATCTCTGGTTATCAGGTAGAATCTGCTTATCCTATCTTTGGAGGTCAGAGGAAAGGCAGGCTGCTTCTCAGCAGAGTTTGTTTCCCTTGACTTCAAAGGCCAAGGTGCTTATCAGCTAAGTTCCCTTTTTCGGGCTCCAAAGTCTGTAGGTCCCTGTTGGGGAGGGGGGGAAGCTGCTGCTGTTTGGAACCCTAACAGATACAATACTACATTTCAGTATGTTCCCTTCAGACTATTCATTGACAAAACAGTCATTCAGTTCTTGCCCACTTCAAGTTAGCAGACACAGGTTTTAAACCCTGAGACCCTTTTATTTTCATTATGTGCTAATTGAAAAGATTTACTCGCTTTCAAAAGTGAGTTGGATTACATCTGTATTTTAATTTTTTTTTTAGCCAAAAAGAAAATTCACTTTATTGGAAAAAATAATTATTTTAAACTGTTGCCATGGTCTTATGTTTTGTAATTTTATCATGCAATCAAATTTAAACTATGGTTACAGATAATAGTGTGTTAAACTTGGAGAGGGAGGCACAAAACTGACACACAAAGGGGAAAATATCACTAATAACAACATGGAAACAACAAATGAAAAAACAAAACAACATCAGCTAGCTCAAGGTTCAAGTTTTGCCAAAGGCCTGGGCATTCCCATCATTTGTTTTTCATGCTTTTGAAAATAGTATATGTGTGTATGAGTGTGGGTATAGGTAATAAAATGAGAAAGGGTATCATGAGTGGGGAAAAAGATTTAAACAAAGGATGGGGAGAGAGTAATCGATGACATGAAAGTGGAAAGGGGGTGAAAGAGGGAAAGTAGGGAGATTAGGGAGAGGAGAAGAGGCAGAGGATCAACCAAAACCAAACACGTTTGAAAACGACATAATAAAATCTCTTTGTAAAAAACAAGCAAGTAAATCACCGAATTATTTGTTAACAGTAAAGATTCTTGGGTCCTATTTCATATCTACTGAATCAGAATCTCAATAGCGGGCTATGGGAGCTTGCTTATTTTATTTATTTTTGAGACCAGGGCTTGCTATGTAACAGAGGCTGGCCGCCAGTTCTTGATCTTTCTGCCTCAGCTTCTGCAGTGCTGGGTTTACAGTTATATGCCTTTATGTCCAGGCAAAACCCTTCATTTTAACAAGCTCTGCAGTTGTTCTGATACACATTGAGGTTAGAAAGTACTATCCTAGACATTTTCACTCTATTCCTTTATAGTGAGTACACATACATTTTTAAAAAGCTTCTTTCCAAGTATTTGAAAGAAACAAAATGACAGCGGATCTAAAATGTTGCCAGAATCTCCATGGTAATACTTACAATGTAGGACTCAACAATATGGGCTAAGAAAAACAGCGGTCAGGACGCACACTTATGAAACTAGCTTGTAGAACGATCTAGAAGGGCCAGATCCTCCAGTAGCCTGTTAGGTGTGCGCACTTCCTCTTTCAGTTACTCAGCAAAGCTATCATCTTGAAGGTGAAACTGCCAAAGTACAATTTCTCTGTTAAGTCACAAAGTCTGAAAACAAGGGCCTTGTGCATGTAATCCACTCCTAGCTTCTCTGGGCTGTACCCAAAGTTCTCATTGCAAGCATTCCCGGGGTCTCCTGATGGCCCAGCAACCAGGAAACCCTGGATCAGCAGCAAGAGCCAGTCTATCTATACATGAGAATCCACTAAGCCAGAAAGACCCAAAAGAGTTAACACATCAGTGTGCTGAAGAGTGGCGGGGATACAGACCAATAAGAAGTCTAAACTGGCAGTGCGTCTCATGTAGGCGGGTGTGGGACAAAGCGTGCAAAGGGGACCGCGCGGCCTAGGGGTGAGAGGGCAGCCAGGATTAGTTATTTGAAAAAGGCGGGGTCCACGGAGAAAGCACACAACCTTTGGCCCCTTCTTCCGGCTTTCCTTCGTTCTTAAGGTTTGGTAGCAGCGGGTACAGCCCGGGGCCGGCGTATGGCCACGGAGTTACAGCGTCCGGACTCAATGCCCTGTCACAACCAGCAAGTAAACTCTACTTCCACCCTAGGTTCCCAGCATCTGCAACCGGACGACCGGACCCTGGATCATGCAGAGGAAAATAATGCTGTTGTGGCCAAGCTGACTCTCCTCCCTGGGCACGCCCATTCCAGTGTGCAGTTGGAGCAGTACTCCCAGGCCTGTGGCGGCGTCAGCCTTCTCCTTGAGAGCCACAGTGACGGTAGTGACAGAAGCCACTATGAAGCACCTGTGAGGGAGTTCCTCTTAGGGGACTGTGAACTCTCCCGTCAGGTAGGGACGCAGCTTAAGCTCCTGCCTATGAACGATCAGATCCGGGAACTGCAGACTATCATCCGGGACAAGTAAGCCTAGAGCGAAAGGAGAATGGGAGATGGAGGGTCTGGGGAGGCGGAGGCGGAGGCGGAGGCGGAGGCTGAGGCGGGGGAGGGGGGGCGGTTGGAGTGGGTATGGGCGGGGATTGGAAGTAGAAAAGCCTGTGGGCTCAAGGG